TGTCTCACTCAACAATCCTCTAAACCTTATATAATAAACAATAACAAATTAACCCCTTGAACACACACCAACACGCACAGGTAAACATGAACAAACTCTAAACACACTTACCTTAACGAGAGAAAATAAAATCATTAAGTAACACCATCACTTGATATAAGGAGGTGTGAACAGGTAAGGACGAAGTAAGGGGTGAGGGAGGGTCAGGGAGAGGTCAGGGACAGGAGGTTGATCACTGAACATACACCGATCAAATCTACACAAGTTTCTTTAGGTGAACTGCACAGGTAAGCTCTCATAATTCCATGCTAATATATACAGGTGAATTATCATAGCAAAAGCTCTCCCTCAAACTAAACTAACAAAAGACTCCCAAATATAACTCGTTAATGGGATAAATCTTCAGGTGAGAACGTTTTAACACAGGTATCAACAGGTGAGTCATTAAGCCCCAGGTGTCAGTTAAAAGAAATATAGTCAGATAGGAGTGTAGTGAGGACATAGTGTTATATATGTACACTATACAGAACATGAGGAACAAATCTGATTACAAACTTCATCTAGATTATAAAAAAAAGTTACACCTTACCTAACCTAACCCACCCTACTGAGACACCACCGTACACAAAACACATCTTGGTTTAAATTATTACCAGGAAAAAGAAATTACTTCACTAAATCATAAAGACAAATATTTTCCTCCAGTACATTAAAATAAATCATTACAGTAAATCATCCTTATAATATCTAGAGAGTAATTAACGACACAAAATTCTTCCAATTATAAAAAAAATTAGTTTATTATTTTTTTACGATATTGTCTAGATATTAAAAAAAATAATTATTGTGAATATTTGTTTTCTTACAATTATTACCTGTATTAATGAGTTAATTAAGACATCATCACCAAGTTACTACAGGTGTTAATGAACAAAACTGATAACCTGGTTTATGAGTATTATTATTATTATTATTTCTAAGCATTTACCTGTACTTATCTAAGGGTCCGCCGCCACGCCTTCAGTGTATGTAAATATACGCTAATTAATCACTGTTTACCTCTCTCTCTCTCTCTCTCTCTCTCTTCCATACCTCACCGAGAACTCAATAACGTCCCTGCAGTGAATATTTCGACGCTATCTTTGTATCTCTATTATTATTTACGAGTCTATTGTATTACACATCATTACTACAGTGTGACCTCCCACGCTGACCTCCCACGCCCACTGAGATCATCCTGGGTCACGCACCTTCCATCTTTGACCTCTTACAGAATTTTTTTTAGGTTATATATAAATTCGACATCAAAATCACTAAAGTAAAGTTGTCCTTGTAGATATACCGGACTTATCAAGCCATATATTCCGGTAAATAGAGGTTTTACTATATTGATGTAATTCCTACCCATAACCATAACCCAATCATCACCCGGGGCCTGTAACTTGTCCTGCCGTCATGAGCGAAGAGAGGAAACCTAACCTAACCTAACCTAACCCTAATCATCACCCGGGGCCTGTAACTTGTCCTGCCGTCATGAGCGAAGAGAGGAAACCTAACCTAACCTAACCTAACCTAACCTAACCTAACCTAACCTAAATAGAAGTTATGTTCAGACAGTTGGGTTATCTTAAGTACGGCCAGATTTACCGTACTTAATCTACATTGACATCCCACTGAGAAATTACAACATTGTATATTTCACCTGTAACTTAAGGTCCTCTTCTTCAGTGGGATTTCAATATTATACATATACTAATACACATGTATAAAATGTACATATAATTGTGTGTATATATGACCATAACAATATGCATTTATCCTAATATATAAATAGGTATACTTACACCTGTATACAATTATACCTCTACATATAATTATCTCTAAAATACAATCATACATAGGATATAAATCATACATATATAGAATTACATATGCATATACATATTTAAAATCATACGTGGATACCTACATATTAACTCACCTGCATCTTATCTACCTGCTAGTTATCTCACCTGCATCTTATATCACCTGCTAGTTATCCCACCTGCATCTTATCTCACCTGCTAGTTATCTCACCTGCTAGTTATCTCACCTGCTAGTTATCTCACCTGCATCTTATCTCACCTGCTAGTTATCTCACCTGCTAGTTATCTCACCTGCTAGTTATCTCACCTGCTAGTTATCTCACCTGCATCTTATCTCACCTAATATCTAACCAAATTTGTTGATAACCATTACCCAGGTGTTTTATTTACTAGTCTACACTCAGGTGATGAGAGCAGACTAACCCAAACCACATCTCCATTTACAGAACCTCGATAAAAAGGCAATACTGTTTTTTAACCAGTTTCTTATCTGTAAAGTTGTCACCCAGTAAAGAAATTAAAGATTTTGTGAATAGAGTTTTATTAAGCTTAGCAACTAAATCTTATTCGATTGAGGTGAAATATAGTTAACAAATATAAGTGAGAAATAATAGAATATTCTGAAGATACATAATTTGAATGTCTTAATGTACACCCCCCAAAAAACGGAGAAATCATTTTCCTTTTATGTTACATCTGATCTAAGACACATTATCGTATCACCTATCACTATTATCAAGTAATCTTTGGACAATAATTTATAACTGTTATCATTTATCGATCGTTATCACCTAATCAAGTTTGATGTCATGCATATAAGAGTTAAGCCTCGTAATGTCTGTGATGAGAGTAATAAGGTATTTCTTTCATTATTGGAAATTACTGAAGAGCTGCAGGGCAAGTGTGAGCCAGTCCTGATGTACACTTCAGTTTGACAACACCAATAGGACTGGGGCCCACTGGTAACTAGGACCTACTAGTACTTGGGGCCACTGGTAACTAGGACCTATTAGTACTTCGGCCCACTGGTAACTAGGATCTACTAGTACTTGGGGCCACTGGTAACTAGGATCTACTAGTACTTGGGCCCACTGGTAACTAGGACCTACTAGTACTTGGGGCCACTGGTAACTAGGATCTACTAGTACTTGGGGCCACTGGTAACTAGGACCTATTAGGCAGTACTTGGGGGCCCAGGCAACGGTGGACTCTATCAGTACTTGGGGCCACTGGTAATTGAAAATTCCACAGTACTTTTAAAATACTGGTACCTAGGACTCATTAGCATTACTGGTAAATTAGGGACTCACGGTACTTTGGGGGCTTACTGGTAACTAGGACCTATTAGTACTTGGGCCCACTGGTAACTAGGACCTACTAGTACTTGGGGCCACTGGTAACTAGGACCTACTAGTACTTGGGGTCACTGGTAACTAGGACCTATTAGTACTTGGGGCCACTGGTAACTAGGACCTACTAGTACTTGGGCCCACTGGTAACTAGGACCTACTAGTACTTGGGGCCACTGGTAACTAGGACCTACTAGTACTTGGGGCCACTGTTAACTAGGACCTACTAGTACTTGGGGCCACTGGTAACTAGGACCTACTAGTACTTGGGGGCCACTGTTAACTAGGACCTATTAGTACTTGGGGCCCACTAAAGACTAGGTACCTATTGCTATTGATGTGAGGACTCCTTATCTGCTACAATTCATTCCTAACTCCTATTACTTTCCTATTTTTTCCTTATAATACGTTAATATATTTTCCGTTGGCTTTTTCCTGTTATTTTGCCTATATGTATTTTTTCCTTGTTCTGTCTCTTGTGTTTTTGTCTTCATTACGTTTACAAGAACAAAGGTACACACACACACACACACACACACACACACACACACACACACACACGGTCAACACAGGTATCTATCAACTAAATCATATCAAATTAAACTCACTTTCTTGAATCATATTAAAGTAAAAAACAGATGTACTAATTAATCAAACATAAAAAAAAAATAGAATGATTAAGAATTATAAATGTAAAGAATAAAGACATGAAGGCTAAAGAGAATCCCATAATACGTTCAATGTTGTCTGTTGAACGAACGTATGAAGGAGAGTGTGTGTTCAAGATGTAGGTTGAAGAAAATTATTTTACACTCAGGGGCGACCTTGTTTTAATAGCTATAATGAACCTAACGGGAAGACTGCAGATACTGACGCACACACTGAAGCAGACACTGACGCACACACTGAAGCATATACTGACGCACACACTGACACATACACTGACGCACACACTGAAGCAGACACTGACGCACACTGAAGCATATACTGACGCACACACTGACACATACACTGAGACACACTGACGCAGAGTATTCAACAATAATTTCATTGAGTCAAACTTAAACCTGGAGAACACAATAATAAAGTGTGTAGAGGTGAGTGTGAGAACAGATGCAGTTGTTGCTGAGATTTAAAATACAGAATCACCTACTTCTATCACGGTGTAATACGTTCTACAGGTAAATTAAACACATCCAATCAACAAACCTTCCTTGGCAAATTGTTCAAGGTATTTTAAGTCGACGAGTGAAATTAGTTAATTGGTGTAAATGTTTTAATTGGTTTAGTGGAGATAATTGTTTTTTTTTTCATGGTCTGTATTGCACAATCGTAAATTTGGTATTCATACACATAGAGACAACTAGACACACACACACGCACGCACACACTCACACGCACACACACGCCAGATCAAAGACCATCGTCATAATATATATTTAGTGAACGATGACGTTTCTGTATAAAGCTTTCATCCGTGGAGAGTCAAGGCTGGAGTGACCTCAGTGTACCGGGTCAAATCTGTGATCATACTGAGCCATTATGACGTCACTAACACTCACCCGGGTCTGACAGCTCTCATAGTCCTGCCGTCCAATCATTGAATAACTCAACTCGCGAAAAAAATAGCGAATGGACTCACGATAAAAGACGGTAAAGCGAAAAATAGCAAAACATGTGAGGAATCGCGGGCATTGTGGCTGGTGCCGGGGCAGTGGGGGCATGAGAGAGAGAGAGAGGGAGGGAGAGAGAGAGAGAGACAAGACTCAGTGGCGGGGAGTCTGCAGAGGGGCGAGTGCTCAGTGGTTTGGGGTCCGCCTGGCAGTGAATACGTGTGTTAACTCTACTCTCGCCCACCTGCCAGCCTGCCTTCCTGCCTGCCTGCCTCCCTGCTGGGTAAGGCGACTCGAAGGAAGATACAATATTTTCGTGTTTACACTCTAAGATCTGCCTGTGAGGAGTCAACCCCTTGGACTATCTATGATAACTGAGCGTCGAGAAGTGTGTTCATTTTTTCTTTTTCTGATATATTTTTTTTCCTCGCTGCAGGTGACCGAGAATCAGGAGCCAAGGAACAGTCGCGCGAGGGAAGTGTGTGACTGTGTTGGAGGGCCTCGAGGACTATGAGTAGATAAACTCTTACAAGTGAAGGCCTAGTGACTGACATCCTCTTCCCTCGAGCGTCTCACCACAACATGATCACTGGCGCCACGATGGCTAAAGCAGAACACCAAGTGACGGTACAGGAACAAGTGGTGGTGTCTGTGGATGATAACAACAACGACAGTAACAATAATAATAATAAGTGTTCGGAAGATGAATCAGGAATCTCTGGCGGGAAGTACCAGCTTCGTCCGCGGTCTGTTAAGTCGCGGCGCCGCTGTGACAGTGACTGGAACTTCCAGGACACGCTGAGACATAAGCCACGGCCGCCGCCACTCTCCAGGTACCGCAGGAAGACGGCCAACGCTCGGGAGAGGTACCGCATGCGGCAAATCAACACAGCCTTCGACAGCCTGCGGGGTGTGTTACCGTCGTGGGTGTGTAGTCGACGAGCAGCCTCCGACATGACCAAGATCACCACACTGAAACTCGCCTCCGCCTACATCAGGTCCCTACAGGACATCCTGGACGGTAACGCCCACCAGGACACCTGCTCCTGGGTCCTCTCCAGCATCCTAGATGAAGCCTCCTCCAGCCCCCAGCAGCCCCAGCCCGTCCACTACAACCCCAGCATCACCCCTAGCAAGACCCACCAGCCCCCAGCACACACCACCACGGACTCGGAGCTGGTGTCTCTCCTGTGTGGTGCCTCGGACTCCAGCGTCTTCCAGGACAACCTTGAGTCCTTCTCGTACCTGTCCCCAGCAGGTGACACCGACACAGTGACCCTCTTGCTGCTGGGGGCTGACCCACCTCGCTGCTGGGGGGAGGCGCAACACACCCTCCCTGTCTCGTGATGTAGGACTCGTGTAGAGGATAACAGAAAATATTCCGTAGTTCCCTGACAGTCATCTCACCTGCCTGTGATGTACTGATCAATAGTTGTGCCATGGAGAAAAAGGACCACATTCCTGACGCTAGACGACCTGTGTAAGATTATCCAGAATTATTAACATTGTCTGTTGTAGAAACTAAGACCCGAGGAAGGTGCTTCATAACCCGGCAGTTACAGCACTGTACATCAATAGAGGGCCTGTGATCTGAGGTTATTTCAGGAAAAAGTCAGTAGAAAGTTCAAATGCTTAACACTGTGCCTCATTATTTACGAAGACCAATACCATGATAGTCTTGAACTTAAACCATGATAGTCTGGCTGAAAGTAAGGTATTAATAGACGTCTGCTTCTCGACATGCGGTTGACTTTAGTGAATGAAGACGTTTGGCGGTGTGAGCCATCAGTGTAGTGAGGGAAGGGTGACCGCACCTGGACGTCAAGATACAAGTTGTAACTTACTGCTGTCTCACTTGGCTTCATGTTACACCAACACACACTACCTTTAGGGTACACCTCACTATGTTCTCCTCACTGATAACACTCTGAATTATGCATTCATATATATATATATATATATATATATATATATATATATATATATATATATATATATATATATATATATATATATATATATATATATATATATATATATATATACCCCAAATGTTTTACAATAGTTACTAAGTGACACAATACATTTATGATTGACATAAAAAATTATTAAACAATATACAAACAGTAAATAATGTAAGGAATAGTCTTGTGTGTGAACTTTGTGATATACAGTAGAGGTGTGTTAATACCCAGTGCAACACAACATATCCGTCCGTACTGCCAAGACAAGACAAATATTTATATACCTATAACATAACGTTGATCATTATTAGTGTATTATTGTATTTATTCCAGTGTTAGTTATCTCCACTACACACTCTAGTCAAGACGCTTGTACGGTGGTGTCTGTCTGTCTGTCTGTTATAGTAATATATTATGAACTCCAGTACCACTAAGTCCTTGTTAAGGTCATATACACACTCAAGTCTTTTAAAACACTTACCATGAGTCTATGTTAACTGTTTAATAATAATATTATTATTATTATTATTATTGTTGTTGTTATTACTATAATTTATTTGTTATCATTTTCAGTGTTATTATTATCATCATTATTTTTTTATTACTATTATTATTATTATAAATTCCTCTCCAGTTATTTAACTCACCCAAAAAATATTTAAAAAAAATCCTTGGGAAACTGTTAAGTGCATAGATCATAATAATAGCTTAAGTGTATTATTGGACTCGAGTGTGTCTGTCTGTCTGTCTGTCTGTTGATTCCAGGTGATAGGGGTTTTAAAAATACTCACTGTGGTCGGGTAAAATGATAAGGTTAGTAATAAGAGAAAATTCTATTGATATTATTATTGTATTCTGCTGTGTTGCTTTATATTCCTTACCTGTTGTTGATGAGTCATTAAGTGAATAAATTATTTCTCTTTGATTTTGTATTTTGTTGTTTTATTTAGGAACCTCTTTTGTTTTTGTTTATTTGTTTGATAGTGTTGTCATTAAGTATCAGTAATGTTATTATTACTATCGTTATCATTATCGTCATTAGCAGGGGACCGAACATCGTCATTAGCAGGGGACCGAACATCGTCATTAGCAGGGGACCGAACATCGTCATTATAGTTGTCATCATCACTATTACCATTATTATTAATTGTTATCCTCACCATTATCACCATCAATATAATCACCTACACCTACATCAATACACAGGTATATGAAGAAAGCCTCCCCCCCCCATACCCCGGGCCAGTGAGCACCTGTAAACACCCTAATTAAACTTCCTCCGGCACACTAATACACACAGGTAAAACAACATACAGGTGAACACTTATTCTCTCCTAAGTCTTTACGTCTACCACCTGATCATTACACCTTTACCTTCTCTCATTAGTCACCTCAGAGAGTAATGAACTAATGTAATAATAATAATAATAATAGTAATTCTTCAATACATCTGGTACCTATTGACTTCAACTATACAGTCTAATATATCTAGTAATTAATAGCATATGAAGACGATACATCTACCCCCTTCCCCCTACTTAACCTTCCCCCTACTTAACCTTCCCCCATTACCCCCTCCCCCCATACAAATAGAGCCTACAAATGACGTTATTCAAATCACCATTGTGGGAAACAAGGTCAAACTGTAAAGACATTTGTAGTGATGGTAACAAGACAAGCAGTTACACACTACTAGAGGAGCGCTGGAGTTGAATTACCTTGTTCGTTTCTGGTGATGGTTAGGTTAGGTTAGGGTTTGTTCAGCCGGTGTAGTGAGGAATGGGTGACTCTATTAGGTAAAGCTCTGTCTGTATCATGGGTCTGATTGGTTAGTACGGATAGTTAGCGGGGATAGTTAGCATGGACAGTTAGCACGGACAGTTAGCATGGGTAGTTAGCATGGACAGTTAGCATGGGTAGTTAGCATGGACAGTTAGCATGGACAGTTAGCATGGGTAGTTAGCATGGACAGTTAGCATGGGTAGTTAGCATGGACAGTTAGCACGGACAGTTACCATGGATAGTTAACACGATAGACAGTTAGCCCGGACAGTTAGCGCCAGTCAGTCGGAGCTTTATAACACAACTGAGACTCTTACCATGACCGACAATGTTTAATAAAAATAAATTACAATCCATAAAAATTATTGAGAGTTTCGTCTGAGATATCGTTCATTACCTTAACATATTTAGAGTGTGTTAAACTAGGTTAGGTATCGTTAAGTACACAGAGAGAGAGAGAGAGAGAAGGAATAAAATAGGGAGAAAGACAGAAAAATAGAGAGAGAAAGAGACGGAAAGGGAGACAGAAAGAGAAAAAGACAGAGAAAAGAGAGATAGAGAATTAAAAATAAAGAAAGAAAGAGACAGAGAAGTGAAATAGAGAAAAGCAATAATAAAGAGGAACACAGACACGGAGGGAATGTACTAAGGCTCGTAGACGTGATTAAGAAGACACCTAACATAATAAAACACCGGGTAGTCACGATTGGCTTCTGGCGACCCCTCCGATAGCATCAACAACACCTGCCTACCTACCTACCTGCCTACCTCATCTAGCCAATCTGCCCACCCACCCACCCGCCCACCCCATCCAGCCACCCGCCCACCCACTCCACCCACCCACCCACCCGTCTGCCTGGCCCACTCCCATCTAGCCAATTGGCCCACCCACCCACCCGCCCTGCCCACCCACCCCATCCAGCCACTCCACCCACCCGCCCACCCACCCACCCCATCCAGCCACCCACCCACCAGCCCACCCACCCACCCGCTCACCACTCCGCCCACCTGCCCACCCACCCACCTGCCCTCCCCATCCACCTCATCTACCTACCTACCTACCTACCTGCCTACCTACCTACCTCATCTAGCTACCTGCCTACCTACCTACCTGCCTGCCTACCTACCTCATCTAGCTACCTACCTACCTGCCTACCTACCTACCTCATCTAGCTACCTACCTGCCTACCTGCCTACCTACCTACCTGCCTACCTGCCTTCCTCATCTAGCTGCCAAGCCTCAGTACGTTAGGTTAGGTTAGTGTAAATTAATATTAAATCTCATATTCTTTCTTTTGATAATAAAAATGGTGTTAGTTACTAAAGCAGTCTTTTTTTCCTATACCTGTGCATCTAACTGCGTAATAATAATAATAGTAATAATAATAATAATAATAATAATAATAATAATAATAATAATAATAATAATAATAATAATAAACGGTTTATTAATAGAGTTGCAGCCGGTGGCTGAAAATATATACTAACAGGTACATTTGATTTAGACAATGATATGCGTTGAATACATTTACAGGGCTGTGCAGTACAGCCCTGTCTGTCTGTCTGTCTGTCTGTCTGTCTGTCTCGTCTCGTCTCGTCCAGCGGCACTAGAGCCTTTCATTAATAACAATAAAATCACTCGAAGATAAATTTACTCTGACATTCTCACGAGTCGAGGAATAATGTGACTGTTTACTGCTGATCATACAAGAAGTGTGGCGCATCCGGGAGAGAGAGAGAGAGAGAGAGAGAGAGAGAGAGGCTTTGAAACATCCGGCGGCTGAGTTGGCAGAATCCACACGTACGCGGGTTTGACGTGTGTTCATTGGTTCATTGACCATCATAACGTATGCTGATTGGTTCCTTGGCCATCATGACGTATGCTGATTGGTTCCTTGGCCATCATGACGTGCGCTGGTTGGTCAGGTAGCGTCCCCCCCCCCTCTTCCTCCTCCTTTCCACCCTTACTGCGCCAATCTTAACTAATTTAACTTTAATTTAACTTACGCTCTGCTTATAACATTACAGATTAACATAAACTTGTGTTAACTTAATCTACTATCATATCATGGAGAACTGCTGACGTCATGGTCTGCTATAACGACCAATTAGCGCACCCCAGACCCATATGTGTTGGGTGAGCTTGTTAAATTCCGTTTGAACTGGGCAAAAATTCCCCTCGAGGCACCTTACACACACACACACACACACACACACACACACGCACACACGCACACACACACACACACACCACTGTTATTTCTCTCTCTCTCTCATACACAAAGAAGCGCATCAAGTTATCAAAGACAGAAGAGTGTGTGTGTAGAGTGTGTGTACGTAGAGTGTGTACGTAGAGTATGTGTGTGTAGAGTGTGTGTGTGTAGAGTGTGTGTACGTAGAGTGTGTGTGTGTGTAGAGTGTATGAGAGAATGGAACTGAATCAGAGAAAGAAACAAGTGTTGGTTACAAGGAAAATATGATCCTCAGTTCACGAGCGAGGAAACGTGTGTGTGTGTGTGTGTGTGTGTGTGTGTGTGTGTGTGTGTGTGTGTGTGTGTGTGTGTGTGAAGCGACCATGTGTGGCAGTAGTTATTGTGTCTGACCTGACCTGGTTGGACTCGATCCCAGGCCACAGCAGGGAGAGGATCGGATTGGGTTTCCACCTTCGTATACACACTCCCTCTCTCGTGCAGTCAGGAGATAAAATGGTGGTGTCACTCAATGGGTTTAGTCTCAATAGAGCATTCGTAGGTTGAAATATTATATCTATATTAATGGACTAAGGAATTGCTATAGAATCATAATGGTGAACCCTTTAAACCCCTAAAATGGCTATAGAATCATAATGGTGACCCCTTTAAACCCCTAAAATGGCTATAGAATCATAATGGTGACCCTTTAAACCCCTAAAATGGCTATAGAATCATAATGGTGACCCCTTTAAACCCCTAAAAGGCTATAGAATCATAATGGTGACCTCTTTAAACCCCTAAAATGGCTATAGAATCATAATGGTGAACCCTTTAAACCCCTAAAATGGCTATAGAATCATAATGGTCACCCCTTTAAACCCCTAAAATGGCTATAGAATCATAATGGTGACCCCTTTAACCTCCTCCCCAAAACAGACCTCTAAGATATGACTCAACACACAATCCAGCCATCTTGTGTAAGAATATGTGGTAAGGTAAAAA